TTCTTTCTTTCTTTCTTTCTTTCTTTCTTTCTTTCTTTCTTTCTTTCTTTTCTTGAATGTCTCACTATGTAGCCCTGGCTGACCTGGAACTCACTATATAGACCAGGCTGGCCTTGAACTCATAGAGATCCACTTGCTTCTGAGTGCTGGGATTAAAAGCGTGTGCCACCATACCCAGCTGAGACAATTTTTTGATTACTTATAATGTCTATACAGTATGCTATGTCTGTGGCTGTTGTGTAGTACTGTTAGGAAATGATGGCAAGTTCAGTACAGATGCAGGTTTGTCTTTTTTATATTTTCCACCTGAGGCAAGTTGAATCTGCAAATGCAATGTCCATGAATATAGAGAGTGGGCTGACTTTGCTTCTCAGCCTTTTGGCTAAGGGGAAGTGCAGATGGATGGCTGTAATATTACTTCCTATGCAGTTCAATTTCCTATTTTTAGCTTCCTACAAATGATAGTGGATCTCTGTCTTTCACTCTATCCCATCCCCAAGCAACTTGGAGCCTACAGGATCACAAGTTAGATAACCAGGTCTCAAGTCCTGTGGCTGAAGGTGAATCCACTATGGTTGATGCCACTCTGTATGGTGTGTTTGGGGAAGGGACAATACAGCTTGTAGTAGATGCTTTTGTTTGAATATTTGTGTGCCATATTAAACTTTTTTCACTAGTTGAAATTCTTATTTTGCCCTTCTCTGTGTCTTTATTTTGGGGGTTTTAGGAGAGGCTAAAGGCTAAAGGGGGGTGGGGACAAAAGAAAAACTGGCTTTCCAGTATAGACACAAAATCTGTGTGCATAGAACAGGGATAATCTGTGATACAGACAGTTTGCAAACACAGTAAGGAAAGGATTTGGGGAATGGGGAAGCAGATTAAGTTGTGTTTTATAAAACCTAGTAACAGATTTGTTTGATCTCTACTTCGTGCTTCTACTTAAACAGAATGCCATGGCTATAAACCATCCTTGTTTTCTCTCCAAGTAGAGATTTATTGTGTGAAAATGTTCAAAGTACATTTCAGAATTATGGCAGAGGATCTGCAAACCAGTGTTCCTTGTTTCAGTAGCAAAAATAAAGTAGCCTTTCATAACGTAGACTTTCAGTCCCTCACTTGTCAGCTCAGCAGTTCTTACTGAATGGCAGGCACCTGGTATGCTCCAGGCTTGGTGCTGGCCTGGAAAAAGTGCTGGGAAGACCTCGAAGACATATCAGTGAGACCTTATCCTTGTGAAATTAATACTGTTTTTGTATAATTGTAGAGTTCATTTCCAGATTCATGTTGCTTAACTTTACTCTGTTTTTAAGAACTATTTAGTATTTTTGAAAATCGTGTGTGTGTGTGTGTGTGTGTGTGTGTATGTATGTGTGTGTGCAAGAGGGAGTCATTTCTCTCTTTGTACTATGAAGGTCCCAGGATTGAACTTAGATTATCAGACTTGGTGGCTTACCTACTGAACTATGTCACCTGACCCCCATTATTTGTTTTATGAGACAAGGTTTATTATATAGCCCAGACTGGGCTTGAACTTGCAGTTCTGCCTCAACCTCCTGATTGCTAAGATTGCAAGTTTGCGATCCTGTGTTGAGTACTAGTGATTTTTTTTTTTTTTTTTGGTTTTTTTGAGACAGGGTCTCCCTGTAGCCCCAGCTGGCCTGGAACTTGCTATGTAGACCAGGCTGGCCTCAGTCTCACAGAGATCCACCTGCCTCTGCCTCACAAGTGCTAGGATTAAATGCATGCACCACCACACCTGGCTTGAGTAGTAGTGATCTTTGAGTAGCTTTGTTTAATGAACCCTGAGATCATAGTGTCTTCCAGTTAAAAAAATGTCCTGTAGGTACAAAGTGGCTCATGGTAAAACCTGTACTTTAGCATTCATTGAGTCATCAGAACTACAGTTATGGAGGACATAGGGCTATTGTGGTGTTGATAAAGATATTTAAATATGGCCCATGTAAGAAAGAAGTATGTGCATAATTTATGTAAGTAGTACACCAGGACCTTAAGTTAATTTTTTTTCTTACAGTTTTTGAAATATAATTGCAGCAAGTTGCAAAGATAGTGCAGAGAGACTCCATGAACCCTTTACCTGGTTTATGTATGTATGTTCGTATGTATGTATGTATTTTTATCGCTCTGGGGATGGAACCCAAGGTCTTGCTAGGCCAGTAATCAAATGCTAACCTGCATCCTCAACCCTCGGGTTTCTTTTTCTTTTTCTTTTTCTTTTCTTTTCTTTTATTTTATTTTATTTTATTTTTGGTCTTTTTGAGACAGGGTCTCCCTGTAGCCCCAGCTGGCCTGGAACTTACTATGTAGACCAGGCTGGCCTTTAAACTCTCAGAGATCTGCCTGCTTCTGCCTCTGAAGTGCTGGGATTAAAGGCATGCGCCACATCCAGCTTAATTTTTAAATTTTATGTGTATGAATGTATTGCCTGCATGTATGAAAGTGTACCCGTGCCATGCAGTGCCTCTGGAGGCTAGAAGAAAGTGCTGGATCCCCAGGAACTGGAGTTACGGATGGTTGTTAGCCACCATGTGGGTGCTGGTAACCAAACCTGGGTCCTCTGCAAGAGCAACCAGTGCTCTTAACCACTGAGTCATCTCTCCAGCCCCAACCCTTGATTTTTTTGAGACATGATCTTGCTACATAGTTCAGGCTGGCCTTGAGAATATTACATAGAGGTATTCATGCAGTATGTAGCCTTTTTTTCTTCCTTACTCTTTTTGGCAGTGCTAGAGCTCAAACCCAAGGCCTCACCCATGCCAGTCAGCTCCTCTTCCACAGAGCTCCAGCCCAGTGTGCCCAGCATGTGACCTTTTGATACTGGCTTTTCTCAACATAATGCTCTTGTTTTTTTTTTTTTTCTTTTGAGACAGGAACTCACTATGTAACCCAGGCTAGCCTGGGACTCTTGATCCTCCTGCCTCAGCTTCTGAGTGCCCTGGGTTACATATGTGGGCCACCATTCCTGACAGAATAACACTCTGAAGGTCTGTCCTAGCTTTCTGTGTAGCAGTCAAGATTCCTCTTGTGTCACTGAATTGTGTTCACAGGATAAGCATCCTATGGTTTGTTTAGCCATTTGCTATTTGTAGGACATGTTTGTTTCCATCTATTGGTTGGTACAAACAAAGCTATAATGAGCAGTTGTACACAGGCTTGTGTAGTCATAAGTTTCAGTTCTCTGGAATAAACACCAGGAGTGATATTGTAGTGACACCTCTGTTTCATTCCTAATATTGGTAATTTGTCTTTTCTCGGTTTCATAGTTCGCTTCAGTTGTCATCTTGACATACCTGGGAAGAGGAAACCTTTATTGAGGAACTTCCTCCATCAGACTGTCCTAAGGCCATATCTGTAAGGCATTTTCTTGATTGCTAATTGATGAAAAGAGAACTCAGCTCACTGTGGACCGTGCCATCCCTGAGCAGGTGGGCCTGGGTTATATAAGAAAGGTAACTGAACAAGCCAGTAAGTAGTGTTCCTCCATGGTCTCTGCATCAGTTCCTGCCTCCAGATTCCTGCCTTGAGTTCCTGCCCTTAGTCTCCTGCCCTGGGTTCCTTCAGTGATGGACTGTAACCTGTAAGCCAATTAAACCCTTTCCTCCCCAAGTTCCTTTTTGGTCATAGTGTTTATCACAGCAACAATTTTGTCCATCTTTGTTTCATTCATTGATCTCTGTTTTGTTTATAATTTGATTTCCACTCTGTCCTTCCTTCTGCCTGGACTTTTGTTGTTCTGTTTTCTGACTTCTTGACATATGGGTTTAAAGCAGCGTTTTTGTGAGTTTTCTTCGATAGCATCTAGAGTTAGTAATTTCCTTCTCAGGATTGTTCATCAGTGCATTGCAAATTTTTAAAATTTTAATTTATTATATTTTATTTATGTACTTTCATTTTATGTATGTGAGTGTTTTGCCTGCATGTAAATGTACCTGTGTCATGCAGTGTTTGCAGGGCCAGAAGAGGACATCAGATCCCCTGGAACTGGAGTTAAGGATGGTTATTATCTACCATGTGGGTGCTGGGAACTGACCCACAGTCCTCTGCAAAAGCAGCCAGTGCTCTTTACCACTGAGTCAGCTCTCCAGCCTCATGCACTGCAAATTTTGTTAAGGTTTTCATTTTCAGCCAACTCAACAATTTCTTTGAAACTTCCTTTCTATCTATGCGTTCTTCAAAGTTGTATTTATAGGCTTTCATTGCCTTTGGTATTAGTTTCTGTGATTATATTGTGGTCACAGAACACTCTGAATCTCTTAAGTTTTTTAAGGTTCTTTGTAGCCTGAGATGTCTGTGCTGGTATATGTACTGAGATTGCTTGAAAGGATATCCTGCTGTTGGATAGAGTATTTAATAAACCAGGACTGTAACCATTAGTTGATAATGTTGAATTCTTTGTTGATTTTCTATTTAGTTATTCTGTTAATATTGGTGAGAATGGTGAAGTTTTCTATAACTTGGGATTTTTTATTTTATTTTATTAGTTTTGACTTCACATATTTATGTCTCTTGTTTAGGATTTCTTTGGGATTTAAGATTATCATGTCTTTGGAGGATTTGTTTTTTTAAAAGATATTTTATTTATTATTTTTACTTTATGTGTATGAGTGTATTGCCTGCATGTATGTGAGTGCACCCGTGTTGTGCAATGGTGCAGAGGTCAGAAGAGGGCTTTGGATTCCCCTGGAACTGGAGTTAAGGATGGTTCATAGCTGCCATGTAAGTGCTGGGAATCGAACCCGGGTGCTCTGCAAGTCTGGCTCTGGAGTCTACAGATAGTATTATAACTCGTTTCATTTTGACTAATATTTTCATGCAGATTTTTTATCCTACTCATTATTAAGCTTTGAAATTAATTTCATACATACATACAGTATAAATTGGGTTATATCTTTATCTTCTCTGTCAGTCTCTGTATTTGTTGTGTATTTAGGCTGCTTACATTTAGTGTAATTGTTGGTATAGTGTATCAGGGAATAACTGCTTGTTTTCTTCTGTCTACTCTGTCATTTTGTTGTTGCATATTTTCTCATTTTCTTTTTCTTGCCTTTCTGTGTGTAAATTCTCACATATTTTAAACTTTTTTTTTTTTTTTTTTTTAAGACAGGGTTTCCCTGTAGCTCCAGCTTGCTTGCTCACTGTGTAGACCAGGCTGGCCTCAATCGAACAGAGATCTATCTGGGATTAAAGGCATGTGCCACCATGCCCAGCTTTTTTTGATCTGTACCATTTCTGTGTGTATATCTACATAGCTATTTCCATTTTAAGTAAAATGTAGAAACTTTGCTTCTTTGTGTCTTCACACCCTTCCACGTTTATAATCGTCTTCTGTATTTCTTTATGTGTATGATAACCACGCCAGATTTACTTATTGCTCCAGTCATCAGGACCACTTTACAAAGTTTGGGGGGGGGGTTCATTTCCCATGGTTTTACTCTCTGTATTGTTCTTTCTTCCCATCTCTTGTTCCAAGACTCTGTCTAGAGAATTTCCTTTAGCCATCTTCTTTAGAGTAGCCATGATGGTGACATATTCTTTTAGTATTCCTTTAGGTACCCATGTTTTGATTTTTTTCCCATTTTTTTTTTAAGATTTATTGTGTCTTTAGTTATTTGTACGTATATGTGTAGATAAATGCACATAAGTCTGCAGAGGCCAGCAGAGGGCATCAGATCCCCTGGAGCTGTCATTACAGGTGGCTGTGAGCCATCATATGTGTGCTGGGGACTGAACTCAGGTCCTCTGCAAGATCAGTAAGCACTCTTAACCACTGAGCCGTCTTTCCAGGAAATCCCCTCCATACCCCCAGTTCATTCTTAAAGAATTAAAATTTTCTTCTAAATACAGAACACTGAGTTTGTAGGTTGTTTTCTTTTTCTTTTAGCACTTGAAAAATGTGCTATTCCTCTTCATCTGTGGTTTCCATGGTTTGCTCTGTTGACTGTTCTATCTAGATGAGCTACTACTTTTCTCATGGGTTCCTTTGAGTTTGGTCATGGTGCGTGCTGGTGTGGACTGGTGTGGGCTTTTTTGGGTCTTTCTGGGGTTAGTTCACTGCCTTGATTCTGTAAGTATTTGACTTTTGGCAAACTTGAGAGGTATTCAGACAAGATTTCTTTGAATGCTTTTTGGCCCTGGCCTTTTTCCTATCCCCCAGCATTCCAATGACGTGAATATTAGATTGTTGCTATCAACCCACAGGCCCACACAGGCTCTGCAGTATTTTTCAATCTAGTTCCTCTTGGATTATTCATTATTGGGTCATTTCTGTGTTCTGCTTTCCAGTTTTCTGACTCATTTTGTCCCCTTCATGTTGCTATTGTGTCAATTCATTGAGTTTTAAAATTTGTTATTAATTCTAACAATTTTGCATTCTATAATTTCCAATTTTTATGTCTTTTGTTTCTTTGCTGAGATTTTGTTTTGTTTTGAGACAGGGTCTCATGGAATTGAGACTGGTCTTGAACCCCAAATCCTCCTGCCCCTCTTTGCCAAATGCTGGGATCATGCTCAGCTTTTGCTGAGAGTTTTGTATTTCTCATTGAAGCATGTTCAGGTTGCCTCTGGTGGCTGCTTTAGTGTTTCGTCGGGTAATTCTGATCTTTGATCTTGCTGTTAGCATTAGTCTCTGGTTCTGCTTAGTACAGCTGAGATTTTCATAGTTTTCTTTACGCAGTGAGGTTTAGACATTTCTAGCTATTTGATCTGGAGCTTATTGAAATCATCCATTTCAGCTGGATGACTCCACACCAGCAGGGCAAGTCAGGGTGCTTGTTATCTCCTTGCTGCTAGGTAGGAGTAGAAGCCCAGGTTCCCCACATTGCCTGTGGGGAAGGAGTGGGTCAGGGCTGCCCAGGGCTCACCACTGCCCTGTGGTCCCTGCTGATAGCCTTCAAGGCCTTCACCACCACCATACTGAGGATGGAGGCACTTCACCAGAGGGTGGGGGTGGGGTGGGGGAATCTAGGTTCCTTACTTGCCTGTGCTTGAGATTGTGTGGTAGCTACAGGATTTTTTTCTGTGGCGTTTGGCTGGAACAGTGAATTTGTTTATTTTTATTTATTTATTTATTTCATGTGTATGAGTGTATTACCTGCATGTATGTAAGTGTATCCGTGTCATGCAGTGCCCTTGGAGGTCAAAAGAGGGTGTCGGATTCCCTGGAACTGGAGTTACAGATGATTGTTAGTTGCCATGTGGGTGCTGGGAACCAAACCTAGGTCCTCTGCAAGAGCAGCCAGTGCTCTTAACTGCTGAGCCATTCTCCAGCCCCTGTTCAGTTTATTTTAAAAACAAGGTCACCCTGTAGTCCCAGGTGGCCTGGAGCTCACAGTATAGATCAGATTGGCCTGGTCTCTCAGAAATCTACCTGCCTCTCCCTCTTGAGTGCTGGCATTAAAGGCATGCACCACCATGCCCTGTTCACACAGAGTGGTTTTAATCCACAGATTTCCCAGTTTGCTGGGCAGTGCCAGTCTTGATTTCCTGACAGAGGAAGCCCCCTGGCTGTGATGGAGTTTGTTCCTTTGTATCCTCTTGCCTTTGGCTGTTCTGAGTTGCTGCTTCCTCCAACACCAGATCTGGGATCTGAGATATGAAAGGCGCTCCAGTACATGTTCTGGGGGTCCCAAGATCCTGCCTTCTTGCCATCTTTCGGCATTTCTTTATAACTTCTCTGTAGCTAATGTCCAGGGTTTCTGTTGCCTTAGTGGGAGGAGCCTGGAAAGTTCTCCATATTTCCAGAGGCAGAGCTTCTTTCTTTTTGAGCGGTCACATCTCCTGCCTCTTTTTGTCTTTCACCACTATTGGAGGCAGGGTCTCACTTTGTAGTCCAAGCTGGCTTTGTACTCAGGATCTGCCTACCTCAGCCAGTGGGGTTACAGGCATGCCACCCCAAGCTCAGTCTTGAGCAGGCAGATAGATCTCTTACCAAGTACAGACTAATGATGTGAATTCACAAACGTAAATTTCACAAAGATCAGCTCCTCCCTTTTAATTAATCATTTTTTCATCTTCTGAAATACATTGTCTGTTTGTTTGCAGTGCTGGGGATGGCACCCTGGGCCTTGTGCATACTAAGCGAATAGTCTATCACTGAGCTATACCCTCTACCCAGGTTCATTTTGATAAGAAAAGAGTGTTAAGAGTGTTGTCTCCATTTTTTTGTTTGATTCTTCCACAGCTGTGTGTTGAGTCCCCCAACCGCTCTGGCAGCTGCCATCTGTAGTCACACACCTCTTAAATGCTAATATTGTGGAAAAAGCAGGCTTGGTCACCAGAGGGTCAGATGAGTGAAGTGGGAACTTCTGGGTCCTTCAGAGAGTGGCCAGACTGGTTCTTAGGATGCCTTCACCTAGCATGGCTCCTGCTTCCTCCTCTCTGGCGCAGCATGGAATCTGATATGAAGAAGATGTTTTGTGTTGCATGTTTCTGGCCTGTCTTGGCTCTCTAGCTGTCTCTTTGATTCATTGTCTTTTTTGCATGTCACAGTATAAGGGTATAAGGCTCCTGTTGGAGTTACTGTTTTGAGCCTCAGCCTTGGTCTCAAATTTATCTTGTGGCCTTCCTCTATCATTGCCAGGGCTTTGTCCTTTATAACTCTTTTAAAATGTTTTAAAAATCAATATCGCAAACATTCAGAAAAATGTAGCAGATAGTGTGACTGACCTCTGTTCTCTTGTCTGATTCCCTCTCTGGAGCTGGTCTCAGTGCTGCCCAGGGGATTATGAAGCCCGCAGTGCCCTCTGGTGGTTGGCTTGGCCCTGCCAGCGATGATGCAAGGAAATTGAGACATGGCCTTTGTTCTTAGAACTAACCCAGGTAGTGGATGTGCTAAGTCAGGAAGATAAGAACAAACAGAGGGAGAGAGTGTTTACAGCCTGGGAAAGTTTTGGGTAATGGGGTTGAGAGCTCCCTTGGCTTGGATGTGTGTGGGGGAGGTGAGGGATGTATGTGGGGGAGGTGAGTAGAGTGGCCTTACTCTTCCTGCCAAGGGCACATGGGAGCAGAAGCAAAGAGTGATATGTGTCCCTCCTGAAGGAAGGCTGCTTTCCTAGAATGCTGTAGCATACCCTTAACATTCATTGATCAGGGGACCTGACAAACTGGGCCGTGTGGCACAGAAAGACTCACTAAGGCTGTTCTCGCTAACACTCACTACAGGGCTAAAACACACACAGATGTGTGTCCTGTACAAATGTCCAGGGAAGTTGACAGATGGGGTAGCCCCAACCAGGCTAGGTGGCTGTGCTGTCACAGTCTTCCTTCCATCCCTAGAGGCACCTTTTTCTAATTTGCCAAAGGCACCATGAGGGCTCAGATCTGTTTCATTTTGTTTCTTAGTGTGCTCACATGGTATGGTCAAATATTTAATATCGTATTATGATACAGTTTGCTAACTGACACCCTTCAGCCATCTGTAGGGACTCAGTCATCATCTCGAAGACTGGCTTTGTATCAGATAGCAGATATTCAGGAGGTTGTTCGCTTAGCTCCCCGGCTGTTTCTGTTCTCCCTGCCACAACCCAGCTGCCCAGAGACCCTGTTCCTCAGCTGCCTTCTGTTCCTTCACCACTACCCAGATACCCAGAATCCCCACTCCTCAACTGCCTTCTCCCCCCCACCCCGCCACTACCCAGATGCCCAGAACCCCCACTCTTCTCCATTTCCTTGTGTGGCAACTGAACTGCTTGGTACCTCCTTCCTTGGGTGGCCTGACATGCATAGGCCATTGGACCCCTGTTCTTGCTGCTTCGCTGTGGGGTACTTCTTGTCCCTTTAGGGCCTTCATGCTCTGCACCCCATTACGGTTACTGCTCAAGAGTATGCTGGTCCCCCTTCCTTCTCCATCCCTTTTCTCCTCATCCTGGTTGGCCTAGTTCTGGGAAGGTGGGGCTTCAGTGGAGAAGGAAGGACAAGGAAGTGCGGGAGGAAGACAGAGGCGGCAGAGGTGGAGGCGGCAGAGGGGTCGACATGGCAGCAGCAGGCAGGGGAGTAATTTGCAGTCCCGGTGGTGGGGAGGATATAGGTTTTGAGGACAGGACCATCTCTGGGACTGTCATCTTTATCTGGCCTCACTAATAAGGGGACCTTGTTTCCTCAGGTGTCCTCATGACTTCTCTTGTGGACCATGTCCATGATCCTTTTTGCCAGTGTTGTACGGGTGAGGGATGGACTACCCCTCTCAGCCTCCACTGACTTTTACCATGCTCAAGAGTTTCTGGAATGCAGGAGGCGGCTCAAGACATTAGCCTTGAGGCTGGCCCAGTACCCTGGTCGAGGCTCTGCAGAAACCTGTGACTTCCGCATACAGTAAGTGAACACACTTCAGGACATCGGCAAAGTTTGAATTGTTTAATTCGCATACTGAGGTCACATTGTTCTGAAGGCAGCATAGGCTGAAGGTAGATGTGGCCTCAGATAGCATCCGAGGTGCATGCACTTACAGCAGTATTAGGGAAGAAGTGGGTGCCTATCCTCAAGGCCTCCATCCAGGATTGTTGGCCCGGCTCTGTCAGTGGAGCCCCCATGGTTGTGGGGAGACCTGGCTTCCCCCAGTGGGCATGCCTTTAGTAGTGTTCTTTTATACTTAGATATAGCAAAGGAAAGAAGATAAGAAGCTAGATTAAAACTCTGGAGGCCAGGCGCTAGAGAGATGGCTCAGTGGTTAAGAGCACTGGCTCTTACAGAGGACGCAGGTACAGTTTCCTGCACCCACGTGGTGGATAACAGCCATCCATAACTCCAGTTCTGGGGATCTGACACCCTTTTCTGACTCTGTGGCCATTGTACAACACAGGTGCACTTAATACATGTAGGCAAAACACTAATACACATATAATGAACCCCCCCCCCCTTTTTTTTTAAATGCTGGAGAGGGAAAGGATAAGAGTAGAGAATGAGAGCTGGGTAATAAGAAGTGGCTCATGCAGCTCATGTCTTCTGTTTTGCTTTTAAGTTTTTCCTTTTTTTTTTTTGGACAGGGTCTCGTTGTATCCCAGGCTGGCCTCAAAATCCCTCTGTAGCTGAGGATGATCTTGGAATTTCTGATCCTCCTGCCTTTGCCTACTGAGTCCTGTGATACACAGACGTGCACCAACCACACCTGCTTTACACAGTGCTAAGGATCAAACCTGGGTTCATGCATGCTAGGCAAGCACTCTACCAACTGAGCTACATACCCAGTTATTTTTTTCATTTTTAATTACTTTTTATTACAGCACAAAAGCAGAGGAATAAAAATGAGAGTTGGTCTCTCTTTTCAAAGAACTTAAAGTCTCAGGAGGGAACAAAATAAACACATCAGTGAATTTAATACAGTGGGGACAGCCCCATGGAGTAGGTGCTACTCATGATGACAGCTCACGGGGCATGCTTGCTGTGCCTCCTGTGGTTTGTGAAGCATACAGCAGTGTCATGTGCTTTATTTACTGAGGTTAAATGAAAGTGACTTAACCAAGACTCTGGGCTGGTGTGTGGTGGAGGGGAGATTTGATTACGGCCAGTCAGACCCTAGGGCCCTTGTGTGCTCTATCCTTGGACTTGGAGCAAGAAGTCCTGGGAGCTCGGGAGAGCAGAGCTGGGAACAAAGGCACGCACCACCACTCCTGACCTGAGTCTTAACAGTGAGCAAGAGAGGAGCGGTACCCTAGCTTTCCATAGCTGAGGGGTTTTGTTTGTTTCTTGGGCTACCATAATAGACACAAACTGGCTTCAAAGCACAGAAACATTCCTTTCCATTCTGAAGGCCAGAAATCTAAAATCCAGGTGAGTGCAGGGCCATGGGCCTCTGCCAGCTTTCTGGAAGATTTCTTCCCATACCTCTACAGCCTTCTGCTGATTGCTGCCATCCTGGGCTTTCCAAAGGCTTGCAGACTTGTTACTCTGTTTCTGCCTCTGTCGTCACTGGCTTTCTTTCCTCTTGTAAGTCAGAGGATGAGGGCCTACCCTAATCCAGAGTGACCTCATTTTAATCTCAGTTTCCCCTGCAGACTATTTCCACATGAGATCACGTTGGCAGGGGTCAGGTCTTCAGCGTGTCTTTTGAGGGAATATATTTACAGCAGGAGCATATTTTCATACCTCCATTCTAAGGAGGCGAACCCTACTGAAGTACTCCTTCTATCAAGAGGAGAGGCCATCCTTTTCCATAAATTGAAAAAGTCTTATGTCGAGTTCTAGTTAGTAGAAAAATGTAATCTCAAACCATAAATACTCAGAGATGTAGATAAATATACAACAGCAACTACTTTAAATATCTGAGCTTGAAAAAAAAATCCAATATGTCAGAACTGAAGGGGGACAGTATCAAGTTGTGTACATGTTGGCTGATACTGAAGCCCCTGGCAAGTCAGTCACAGTGACTGCCTCTGCATGCAGCCTGGAAAGTGGCCCTTGGGCTGAGGGACTGTGGGGCGGCAGAACAAGAGTACTGTTTGGCATGGTGGCACATTCCTATAATCCTAACACTCAGGAGGCTGAGGCAGGAAGATCTTAAGTTCAACGCCAGCTTGGGCTACTAGTTTGAGACCAACCTAAGCTACATAGTGAGATCATGCCTCAAAAACAAAACAAAGGAACAACAGCAAACCAGGATGTGGGGTAGGTGCCTGGGTCTGTTTCCTGTCAACTCAGATATCACCTTTTGTTTCAGCTTTTCTTCGTCAGGGGACGTGGCCTGCATGGCTATCTGCTCCCACCAGTGCCCAGCAGCCATGGCCTTCTGCTTCCTAGAGACCCTGTGGTGGGACTTCACTGCTTCCCATGACAGCACCTGCATCAGCCTGGCCTCTAGGCCCTATGCTTTCCTTGAGTTCGGTTTGTAACACTCTTTCATGTTTTCTATTCTCTCCTGTGGCATTATGTGTGTAGACCTTGCAGTTTAGGTTTGACCATATCCATCAAAGAAACCTAGGAAGTGTGACCACAGGCCTTGGAGAATGGCCTTGTACCATGAGACTGCACGATTAAAGTGGCCTCAAGGCTTACCACATGGCTTTTCGCATCTCCAGAGGCTGCAGGAGGTAGAAGATGGATAAATCTTGTGGAGGTTATCCACCACAGGCTTCTGAATCTGGGGACTGCAAACCACAGCCAACAGGCCGGTGGCTGGCTGTGCAGATCAGGAACACAGCCATGTGTGTCCCCTCATGTTGTTGGTAGCTGCATTCATTACCCTAGACAGCAGAGTTTGTTATGGCAGAGCATGTGGGTCGTCAGCCCAGGATGTTTACTGTCTCATATTAAGAATGTCCTGCTGGTTCCTGTTCTAGTTCTGTGCCATCAGAAATATTCTTCCATTGAGAGGTAAGCCCAGAAGGTACCAGGAGTGTCATGAATTCTATGGTAATTTGACATCCTGCAGTATTTTTGTATCTTATTTTATCAGAGTATCAGTCCATGCTAGGTGGTAAATAAGAAAACTGTGGTGCTCTCTCAGCAGGCTAGGAAAGCCTGCTCTGGAAGAAAAGACTTCTATTCTAGGCTTGAACACAGCCCAATAATCACAATGAGTGATCAGTTTTTGCCAGGTGTGGCTCAATTTGAACTCTATGGAAAAGGAGAGATGGTATAGGACCTTCAGTGTCTGGGTTCGATTTAAACATGGAGCTGACAGCATTTGTACAGATGGTCAAATCCATGACTGGCACTTGGGCATCTGACTCTGACTGCCACAGCCTTCCCTTCCCTCATGTGCCCGCCTGCCTGGCCATTAGGAATTCATGGGCGCAATACCCTCTGTAGGTGTCATTTGTAGGGGCCAGGGACAGGCTGGTGTGTGGGCCTCACCCTGGGAGACCTGTGGTTGGTTTACTCTGAGAGGCTGTGGTTAAACTGCTGCCCGTGGCCCCTCTTCTTCCTGTGAAGAGAATAGTGTGCTGCCCCCAGGTCGACCCTGGTCTCACAGCCCTTGTTTCAGTTGATTTGGAGCTGAGTGGAGCTGTGTTCCTCCTCCTCCCTGCTTTGCCTTCCTTCCAAAGCAGTGAGCCTGCTCTGACAGAAGCCTTGCCAGTGCCAACATGGCTCATTAGCCAGTGGGAGCAGAGTGAGTCCAAGTACACTGCTCCTGGAATCACATGTGACTCTGATTTCAAATGTATATGAAACTTCATGTCAAAAACATGTTAAGATGTTGGGCATGTTCTTCCATCATGAGGTGTCTGTGTTTGACTTGAACCTGGAGCGGGCAGCATTTGTACGGTCAGGTTCATGGCTGGCACTTGGGCCTCTGGCTATGACTGCCACAGCCTTCCCTTCCCTCATGTGCCATCCTACCTGGGAGTAGTACCCTCTGCAGGTGCCCATCTGTAATTCCAATCTTGGGAGCCAGAGGCAGGGGCATCAGGAATTAAGGCCATCCTCAGCTGCCTAGCATGTTTGAGGCCAGCCTGTTTATATGCGACCCTGTCTCAAAAAAAAAAAAAAAACCAACCCAAAAAACTTGTTCAAATTAGTTGTAATGGATTAATATACATATAACTAAAAGAATCCAAGCCAACACCTCCCAGGTTTGTAATCTCAGCTTGCACAGTAGTCAGTCATAGTCTTCTGTAATTTTTCAAAAGCTTTTTACTTGGGAAAGTTCAAGCCATTTCTATTTCCAGACTTAGAAGTATCTTTGTGTTCCTGAGTTGGCCCTGTCAGCGGTGGCAGGTCCAGCATCTTCCCCTGATTCCATTGGCACTGGGGTCCTTGATGGGAGATGGCCTTCTGTACCACACTTTAATTATTCTTCCCTGAAGAAGTTGGTCAGGCTAGTGTCGACATGTAGCCACCATCTGATCTTCCCTTACCTGACAGAGTCCGGTTGGCTTACTGGCTGCTTAGCAGCGGGCAAGCACCTTACACATGCTGTCATGGAATACCCATTCTGATGAGGGTGCTCTTTTTGGGCCACTCTTTCTCTGCAGACAGTGTCATTCAGAAAATGAAGTGGCATTTTAACCACATGAGTCCCTCTCAGATGAAGAGCTGCTTGGAGGAAATCCAGGAGGAACTTGAGTTCCAGCCTCCAGCGGTTCTGTCCCTGGAGGACACAGACGTGGCAAATGGGATGCTGAACGGCCACACCCCAGTGTACTTGGAGCCTGGTGAGTGGCTTTTGTTCTCTGCACTAGATTCGTTTTTTCACTAGAAATGAGCTAGATAGGGGGTGGTATACCAAGTATGTTAGGAAATGTATTAACTGACCCTATTTCCAGATGGCTGTTACAAAAGTCTTGACTATTATGATAGTGGGTTGGTTCAAGAGGACATTATTCTTTTGGTGACATTCAGGAGTTTACAGGGACTTGGCAGGTTGTTTCCTCACTAGCATGAAGTCCACAGGTTTACATGTTATGAGAGTCACTCTGTTGCTGGAAGCCTCTCATCAGACTGAACAGATTCCTTCACCTCATTTCATCACTGAGACACTGCAGGCCCCCCTGGGAAGCCGAGATATTCTTGTTGGGGGAGGGCTGTAGAGATGAGAGTGTTCAGGCTAGGGCCAAAGCCAGTGCCTCAGATGCAGTCACTGACAGTCAGGAGGCCCGGGGAACACCTCCCGGAGCTGTGGGTTCAGTCCTGTAAATGTGATCCCAGCACCTGGGTGCTCGGTGACTTTGGGATTCCTACCGTGAGCCATGCAGTGCTTAGCGTGTGATCACACATGCTTCCATTTTGCATTTCTTGTTTTATAATTATGTACACATAAACTGATATTGAGGTAAAGTGGCTATGTACTGTCTAAAACCTCTGCATTGGGGGCCAGCAAGATGACTGAGCAGGTAAAGGCTTACTGCTAAGCCTGATGACTTGAGTTCTTCCATAGAAATCACATGGTGGGAGGAGAGAGCTGATTCCCTCAAGTTGTCCTCTGAAATCTACACACATGCTGTGGTGTATGCTCATAGGGACACAAAAACTAAATGTAAAAAAATAAATAAAATAAAAATTCTGTAGTGGTGTAAGAGCTGTCTATGTTGCAGTAGTCTAATAAAAAATCTTTTATACTAAACAGATTGCTTGAGATTTAAGTGGTATATTAGAAGTGTTAATATTTTGGCTTGATTTTGTTTTGGCTTAATGTAGTTCAACTAGTAAATTCCCCGCTTGGCTCACCTGACAGTCAGTAAGCTGTTCTAACTTAGATTGGGAGAATACTCAACTTCTGGAGGAGGAAGACTGAGTAGTACTTGTGCCCAAGCTTCTCCTTTGCCACGTGAGCACAGGCACCTTCCTAACATATGTCTTGTTTTTTTAAACACTTAGACAGGAGGAACAAATCCTGAAAGTGTCAACTTGCACATCTTTCTAGGACATTTTACAGTGGTCTGACTCTCCCTATTGTCCTGAGACTAGAGTCCTCACAGGTAGCATGCTCTCAGTGGAAACTAACACACTAATAATAAACATTAGTTGGGTTGTGGCTAGTGGGGTGCTTGTGTGCATGTGCACATGCATGAGAAACATAAGAACCAGAAAGGATGCTTGAACAAGAGCATAGCAGAACGGGTTGAGCAGCATTGGACTGTGAACTGGAATCTGTTCCAACAGTGATCTTTAAAGCGAGAACAAGTATGCCTTCCCATTATAGTTTCAGAAACAGCTTATAGCCTGAACAGTCAGGATTTCCTCCCTTTCCCAGTTATTTTAGAATTTAAAAAGTTAGTTGCTATGAATTTTTCTGGAAGCTCACATGACACTGAACACTGTCCTTATCAGAAAGAGTGGAGCAGTTTATGAGCTGAGGACTGAGGCAGATAGAAGGACTGCTTCCAGAATCTGATGGTCCCCTCTGGCAGCATCTCTCAGCCTAACCCATGGGCATGTGGCATCAAGTGACTCTGTGTTGGGGTGTATCATGTCCTGTAGGATGCTTAGCAGCATCCCTGGCTCCTGCCCACCCGAGGCCAGCAGCATCTACCTCTCCTTATGACAGTCATAGATGTCTCAGGATACCTCTGGGGACAAATCACCGTTGGCTAAAATAGAAAGGGAATTAAGCACTTATAAGCTTGTGTTTGCCCCCCAAAGGGCTTTTATCCTGGAACAGGCTTACCTTCAATTTTGAGATCTGTTCTGGCATTCATTTCTGGACTTTCCCTGCTAACTCCCACTGCTTTTTTAAACTAGTGTATTTATGATTCTGTATTAACATCACGAACCTGCCATTAGCAGAGGTCTAGCTAGTGTTTTTGTTTGCCTTTCTGCCATAAAATATTATTCTCATGAGACACTTATTTTCTTTTTATTGTGAAGCTCCAAGTTTCCGGATGGAGCCGGTGACAGCCCTGGGCGTCCTCTCCCTTGTTCTCAACATCATGTGTGCTGCCCTTAACCTCATCCGAGGAGTTCACCTCGTAGAGCATTCTTTACAGGTGAACTTTATAGTTTCTTCTTCTTTCTTTTTGGTGGTATTGGGAATTGAATCCAAGACCTTATGAATGATAAGCAGGCATATTTTACCCAGAGTTCCTTCCCCAACCCCTCTTTCTAAATTGAAAGACATGGGACAGAAGAGGCTGATGGGAGACATTTTATTTATCAGGTTGTCGTACAGTAAGGTTTTATAAATATTAAAAATTAAAATAAAACAATTAAATTTTTTACTCTTTAAGCTGGACATGGTGGTTCATGCCCTGTAATTCCAGCACTGGAGAGGTAGAATCAGGAGGTTTAGGAGTTCAAAGTCATCCTTGGCTACATAGTGAGTTTGAGGCCAGCTTGTGCTGCGTGAGACCATATCTTATTACTCCTCCACCAAATTAAAATAAAAAATTAAAGGCCAAGGATGTAGATCAATTGGTAGATTGCTTTCCTGACATGTACAAGGCCTTGGATTTGATCCCCATCACCACATAAAACTGGATGTGATGACACACACCTGTAAACCCAGCACTGAGGAGGTGGAGGGCAGGAGGATCAGAAGTAGTTCAAGGTCATCTTTGGTTACATAGGGAGTTCTTGGCCAGCCTAGCCTAGAGATCCTGTATTCAAAAAAATCAAAACCAAAAAAAAAAAAAAATCACTCTTTTTAGTAATGGAACAAATCTGAAAGTAGCTCTTTTTGTGTTTTGCCCTAAGAAGCTAGGAGTTCTGGGATGTTGGTAAGAAGTACACGGCTTGCTGTAAGGACTTTGGTTCCCTCTTTTCCCTTGGGACCCCATATCAATCAGGATAGGTTTGATTCTCATGTATAAGGCTCAGGCCTTTTCCCTGGGAACAGATGGTCCCATTGTCTGATGTGTGCAGCACAGAGCCTCTCCTCTTTTTCAGAGAACCCCATTCGTAGGACTCAGCCTTAGCTCCCTTTGTTGGCCGCTCACTATGAAGCAACTTTCTATTCCAATGCTTTTTAAAAAAAGTTTTTATTTTACGTGTATGCGTGTATTGCCTGCATGTAGGTAAGTGCCCCCGTGTTGTGCAATACCCACGGAGAACAAAAGAGGCTGTTGGATCCCTTGGAACCGGAGTCATGGACAGTTGTTAGCTGCCATGTGGGTGCTGGGATTTGAACCTGGGTCTTCTGCAAGAACAACCAGTGTTCTTAACCACTGAGCCATCTCTCCAGCCCTATTCCAATGCTTTTTAAAAACATTCCTTAAATTTTTTTAAGTGCTTCAAACACTGGGCTGGAGAGATGGCTCAATGGTTAAGAGCACTGGCTACTCTTGCAGGGGACCTGGGTTCGAGTCCTAGCACCTACATTGCAGCTAACAGCCATCTATAACTCCAGTTCCAGGGGATCCAGTGCCCTCTTCTGACCTTCATGGGCACTCCATGATACCGGTGCACTTATATACATGCAGGCAATATACACAGACACATAATATAAAAATAGTATTTTTTGCTCCCTACTTCCCGGACCTACACCACTGGCTAACTCTCCTGGCCCGCTCTCCCGCCCTCAGGCCTCTCTGGGGGTAAGTCTACCGTGCAGCCCTCCACGCCTTGACTCCGCCAGCTGCGCTCACCCTTCCATCTCCCCTGCTGTTTTCTACTCCTAGCTTGGGCCCTGCGCCATTCCTAGTCTTGGGGTCCCAGACACCTGGGGAGCCACTGCTGATTCCTGACCCTGTTCACCCCCACCGGCTTGGTGCCTTCCTTGGGCCCCAGGAGCACT